TTACTGTCGCTTAGGGGGAAAAACAGGCAGTGCGTATTTCCACTCCTCAAGAACACAATTTACATAGGAAACCCATGTTCACTCAGTAGCAGGAGAATGCTACTTTGTTAGGGCAAAGTGGAAATATAAATACTAGCGCAATAAAAAGGACTTTTCAGCCAATATAAACTTGGCGAGAGGCGAAAAGTAGCCTTGAACATAACTTTAATGATTCTGTAAGTTACGCTTATGGTACATATGTTTTCTGTTCGAATAGGTGTGTAGAGTATATGTATACAGTGTCAAGAAATCGGGGAGAGAAAAAAACACTGGCGTTCTCAACGAGTCTGTTTTGAGGTAATGTACAGGCGGATGCAAAGTATTTCCAACTGGATATGCCCTTTGAGGAGAAAGAGGGATGTGAGTGGGGGCGAGGGGCTGAAATATATCACAAAAATTCCTCTGTTTTGTGGAAATTCGCCATCGAAATCAGTTCGAGATGCCTCCCGGTGGAGTCTATAAAATAGAAAGAAATAACAATTAAAGAACTTGTAACATAAGCATCGTAAGTATCCATTTGAGCATGAAATGGCTACTTTTTTCATATGAGCTCTGAACAGTTAGGAGGATTTGGGCTCATCCAATGTGACCGCATCTTCTACCCTCAACGTTACTGCACCTCTTGCAATTTGTAGATTCTTCAGTATTATCTTGTAAATAAAGCAAGGTCCTCGGCCCTTAAGTAGCCTTTCAAAACACTGCATAAATTTTGGGTAGCATGTGAAAACCACTTAACTCGTGATGCATACTGATGCTTATTCTAACAAGGTCTCAAGACACAAATGTTGATGGAAAGTGACTAATACGTGTAACCTGAATGGATTTTGAAAAAATGTCGTTTGGAAAAAAGTTTAACTACTATTTTTCTTTTATTTGCAATTGAACGGTTTGAGAGATCATTCAGAATGTAAGTTAGAAAATCAGACAATGTTGAAACGATATTAAAACAAATTAGTTTCGAGACTTGATCAATTAAATAACACTACTTATTTCTTTCTAGCTTGTATAAGTAACAACCACATATGATATAGAAATCGCATAGGTTATGTAAGCCTTCTAGTTTGTAAATCAGATTATCCAATAACTGAGTCGTGATCCATAAATCTACCAAGAATTTGAAAGGGCATAAATATCGGTTTCCAACGTCAGATAATCCGTGCAATCTTCGAAACTGACTCACTACCTGTAGTTTTATGGCGACTAAATGGTTCCAAGACAATTTTTACGATTACGCAAATACCATCATGAAATGAGGTTGCTAATTGACTTTCCCACTTAATGCGGCAGCGTCCCTGTAAAGGTACTAATATTATCGGTCGGGGGGGGGGGGGTTATAGAGCCTTTAATGAGTATTAATGAGCAGTCGTTAAAGTTTCCTTCTTTTATGAGAAGAGATATCAATAGTAAATGATTAATAATAAGCATTGATGAGAGTATGCAAAATTATGATCACATAGTGAAGTTAATGCCACGAACTTAGGAAAATATCGGTTTCTTTCAAGATTATTGATTATTCTTTTTCCAGGTGTGTTAAAGATTTTCATGTGCACTACACGTCCTTTAAAAGCTGAAACTCTTCTTCATGATGATATCAAGAATGGACGACTAAGCCCCCGACCTTCCCGATTCATGATGTTGACTTCCGTCAAACCCCCAAAACAAGATTTACTGAATACTGAAAAGGAATATGCATGAACCGTAGAAATGGAATCGAAATTACGAGCACGTTTTCATCAGAACTAGGGTCATGTTGCTACAATTAAGTCAATGTCTCAGATTCTAAAACGAAGTATGCACATAATGAAGATCTCCACTATTACAAGTTTTTGCAGGCGTCGAAGAAGTCAACTTCTTGCAGAAAATGTATGAGAAAATGAGCTGACTAAAGAAAAGGAACATTTAAACGAAGTGAAACATCTTGCTAAAGCACAAATACTTCGGTTCGTTCAGATGAGAAAAGTTTTCGCAAAAATCAAAACCACACCATGTGGAACAACAGTTGGCTTACTTGCGATCCAAGGGACATTTGTCGATTCATGCGGACTTAATTTGGTCAAACTGTCGTGCTTTTCATACATGTGTCTTCTTATGATTAGATGACGTCTTTGCATTTTCTTAAAGAGGGCCTTAGGTTGAATTCAGAAGCCTGAGTGAGCTGCTGATCGCTGAGTTAAGTCATGGTTGATGAGGGTAGCCAATACAAGGACAGACATGACTGATATACCGACATGGGCATTGTCAGCAAAGACGTTAATCATCGCGCCAGCACTACAGAAGCTAACAAGTCAAACAAGGCCGTTTGGAGACCTTTCAGTGGAAGTATAAAATCAGCTTGCGTCTGTATCGGCCAAGGGCCGAGATAAGACTGCAATAGACGTCAAGGGTGGCTTCTTTAATTAAAACTCTTCGATAGTAACGGAATTTCTTTGTCGATTATTTTTTCGGCTAACATCTTTTTCCTTATCCTGATGACGCAGTCAAATTTATCGGAACACACTGTACGATGAAAGGAAACGGTCACCAAAATTTTAGTCGAACCGGTTCCACTCACATAATTTTACCAACAATAAATTGAACAGGTGTGCAGTTCCACGTGACTTATTTAATAAAGTTAGAGATGAAATAAATGAATGAAAACCTTCAAATAATATTAGAAATACTATTTTAGCAACAGACGAATGACTAGATCCTTAATCAAAGCAGCTTATCTATCAGACCCAAGACTTGTAGAGGAATAAAAGTCTATTTTAGTAGGTGAGAGGATTTGTGGTTTGGAATTTATTCAGCGCAGACTATTAACGGAGAGCCGCCCTAGATTGAAGTCAGACCGTGCTTGCTGATTAGGAAGGTCACCAACAAACTGTTAAAACGCTGGGTCAGCACTACCCTCGAACTGGTTATTATTGGCTTTTGAAGTAAGTTTTACTTAAATGCAAAGGGATACAATTCTTAGTCATGAAATATTTGTCTCAAATGACAGGCGTTTTGATAGTTATCACTAGCCCTTTAGCTGACTTCGAGGTTCACAAAGAGGAGGAACATCAAAGTGACAGAAATTTGAGAGGAGGGACAGTTTTAGCCTGCCTAACTGCTTTAAGCTTATATACTCAATTTTTGTTGCAATTATAAAGTATGCTACAGTTGCTATTACCTTAAAGTGAAAATCTACCAGAGAAACCAGACCAGGTTTATACATATGTTGTAGATACTACTTGTACCTCGAAGATCGAATTTAATCAAATGGTGTTTAGACGTATAAACTTAAACCAAGCATTGGTTACTCAAGTTTGAGGCAATAGGCCATCACAACGGACTATTAGATGAATACCAATCGACCATATTACGTCTTGAACTGACAATATTCTGATGGGAGATTGAAGCGTAGATGGAGCGGATTAAGTATCATACTTCCTGCGCCTAAAAAGGAATTATTTCGTTTTATTTTTAATAGCTACTCGAAAACACAATTTAAGTCGTTTAAATAATTTTAGCAAACCACGATGCAATCGTTGCATATAATCATTATCGAAACTGAAAGGCAGTGTCCAAACTAGAGAAGACTATTATGCTAATCATGCTTGATTAATCTCTATTTTGTGGAATTATATTTCATCAGATAACAGGAGACTGAATTCCCCACCCTGAATAAAAGAATAAACAGAGAGAACTTGCGGCCTGAAAGCATGTGATTGTGTATTTCAATACTCTCTCCTTTTCCATAAAAGTTTAAAAAATGTCATATTGACAACGAACCATCACATTCTTGCGTTTGTGCATTTATTCACATTCTTTCTGGTTAAATGTTTTGCAACTCCCTCAAACAATCGCTTCGTTAAATACCTCCTGTCTCCCATGGATACATATTATAAATTAAATTTATGTGATTAACCGCGAAACCAAATAACAATAATTTAGTAAAGTTGAAAGGAGAAATAGCAAAGAAACAGAACTCGGCTGTTTGTCAGAAAATGATTACTAAAAATGATGATGAGGCAGATCTAAGAACTCGTTTAATCAGGTTTAATAAAATTGAGCTTAGTGAAATTGGATGATAAAGAGCTTGCCAAATGATAGATAGTCGCTTTGAGGCTATAAACTTTCAAATACACTCCCATCAAAATGTGAGGTGGGAATGGGAAGAAAACATCTAGAAGCATTCAAATGATCAGAGAAGTGCCTGCTTTTTCCATATGCTTCCAACAAAACGGAATAGTTGAGAGTTTCGAAGGTGTACAAGGAAAGAATATGAGCTCGATTTGGGAGATATGTAAGGGCATATTTCTTCACTGCTTGTGATTAGGTCATATCAGTTGACAATGAGATTTAGTAAAATGATGAGAAAAGCTGTGATTTTACAAAACAGAAGCAAAAACCTACATCCAATTTAGGCCTTTAATCTTTTTAAGTTAAGATTGCCTACCAAAACCGAATCCTAGTTCCTCGAAATGGGCGGGGGGCAAATAGGCAATCCTATGATTGAAAGTTTTTCAACTACCCTCTCGTAGAGTGCCAACAGAATAATTACGTTTGAATACTTAGTAGAGTTCACCTTAAGTGAATTCTTCTGACCTCTGCTATGATTAAAAAGTGTTTTCCTGCGCATGACAAATAGAGAATACAAGTGAACCAGATAAAGTGATTGGCCCTTTGATTAACTGGACCAACTAAAAGTTTCTGAATACCAGCCACTTGAATTCATCTAGAAATCGAGGGATAACACGTGAATTGAGTTATGGAGGCAAAATGAGTGTAGTCCTAACGTGGAAGTAATCAGGCCAGTGCTTCCAAAATTTAACGGAGCAAAAATCTTAACATCCTGAGTCCTTTTATTTACTTCTATTGGAACCTATGTTTCATCTTTCATTAAACCCTTTACTATTTCCATGCCTATATGCTGAAACTTGTAAGATACTGCCTTGATGTGAGCAATAATAAGAAAGCCGATATTTTCCCCCATACATTTACCAATTACATTTTTTGAAAAAATAACTCACTTCCGATTGACCTTGACGGCTATCTCTGGCCCCATAAAAGCCTCCATAGATGATTGAACTGACAGGTGTTCCAGAGAGGTAATCTGAAAGGAAAAAAACATGCTTTCAACTATAGCCAGCGTTAGGCAAATTGTGAATACCCCAGAGATGGAGTGAGTAAATTAATAATTTAGGCGTTAAAAGAGTCTGCTGTATAAGTATAAGAGATTAGGCCAAAATGTTACGCAGGAGAGAACTCTACTCCACTCTTCTCAAGTAGTCCAGTTCCCAGTGGAATTTCCCAGAGGACACTGCCTATCTCACGCAAATGAATTATTAATCATCCACCAACACTACTGCTTTTTACTTTATATTGGTAAAAAAGTAGCAGTGAGACTGGAGTTAACGAACACACTCGCTTGTACAACTAACCGTTAAGTTCAGGTGTTTCCTGATGTCTATCTTGTTGCGATGAGGATTGCTGACTATGTTGGCCGTAGAAACGGCTGATTGTACCTGGATCCATCGCTCCAGCCACCCAGATGGGAGCAGAATAGATCGGGGTAGCAGGGTAAGCTCCGTTAAGAGGAACTGAGTATCGATAGAAGGCATTAACATCACCGCTCACGTTACCACTAATTTCACGGTGTTGCATGTAGTCTTTTTCCGTAGGAAATACTGCTCCCGGCCATGGAGGCATCTGGGCAGCCACCGAACGGGACTGGGTGGGAGTTGGGGGAAGGGGCATGGAGGGTGGAGGTGGAATGTGAAGCACCTGATTAGGACGAGGAGTTCCATTGACGTATGCATCAGCTTCAGAAACTGTCGTGTAAACTGCATTTGACTCGGATGGCATCGAACTGCTTACAGACTGGAAGAAAGGGAACATCTGCGGTTGCCGATTATCAACTTCGCCGCTGTTTGCCCCCCGATCTTGAGTTAATGGCTGTTGATCCATCGAAGTGCGCTGGTTTGACTGAAGCTGGGTTCTCATATAATTTGGAAGAATTAGAGAGTTAGGTACTGCTACACCCTGTTGTTGCATGAGAAAATGAGGCATGGAGGGGGTATAGGGGGCATTCTCCCGGTTTAGATACATTGGAACCTGGATGGAATTAGAATTGTTGAAGTAGTCCCATTTGTGATCTGAGTCGGTGTTCTGAGAACTAGTCAGTTGAGTCCCGGTTTTAATAAGAGGCATTGTGAAAGGAATCTGGAATGAGTGGTTGATCTCATCCATTTTATGCTTCGACAAGAACGCCCGTCTTCGCCAATGAACAAAAAGAGAGAGAACCAGTATAATTAATACCGTAGCTAAGCACCCCAATCCGACTACTAGAGCATAAGTATGGGGCTGCATGGTTATCAAACCGTACTGAGATCCCAGAGTTCCTGCGCTAGAGTTTCTATCTTGAGAAGGATTCAGAAGAGTTTTTGCTTCTTGGCCTTCGGGTTCTGTTGAAAGAGAAGGGGAAAATAAAACTCAATTAGGACGATAAAAAGAGGGAATGATCTTATCGGTCTTAAAAATTGTTACTTAATGCCTAAACTACGCACATAGGTATGTGGGTGGTATGGGAACAGAGAAAAGGGGGGGGGGATTTACGATTGCAGGAATAGATAAGAGTCAGGTTTGATTGTCGCTTCACTGAGCAAACAAATTGCATTTCAAGAGTCACTTATAGAGGAAAGGATGATTCAATGCCTCAAGGATTACATCTTTTTCTCATAAAAGTAAGCATTCAACTTATTTAATCTTGATGATTTGAGAGATATATTTTCGTATTCCGGCGAAATTGAAAGAAAATGATACATTTTTTTATAGTAATGAAATCAGTGATGAGTCCAAACACATCATCAAAAGAAAATGGGGGCCTTAAATTAACTGAAGTCATCCTTATTTCTGGGTGAATTAAAATAAAAGTACTTATTTTCAAAATTTCTTGATACTAAGTTGAACTAATTTAATTAGACTCTCGGGTTACACGATAGACTTACCTCCACATGGTTCTCCCCGGGCAACGTATACTCATACGGCAAAAAAGTCTATTATTCGGCAATTGACTTCCGACTTCAAACTACCATCACCCCCACTGCATGTCATATTCGACTACTTCCACAGTACTCACTCACCTTTTTCACTCTACCTTTGTGTATGCCTCCTTTACATCTGTGAATCACTCTTCTTCTCCCACCCCCATCGAATTTTTGCGACTTTGATGTTCCTCCCCTCTGTGAAGCTCGAAGTCAACTAAATTGCTAATGATAACTATCATAAAGCCCGAAGTTTGATATAAATAATTTAGGCACTCTGACGACTAGTTAATTAATCGAAGTTTCAGAAGTGAGTTTGAACTCTAATTCTGTTTGTTTAAAGGGCAACTATCCGATAACTCAGGTCTCACATGTAAACCAATATGTTCTTTGAAAGAGTTCGGCTCTGGGGGGGGGCATAGTCCCTTTGAGCAAAATAGACATGAGGTGACTGCTCATCAACTTAAGTTAAAAGACTGGTCATTGAGCTTTGGAGTACGTCACTAAGATTGCACTAAGAAAACAGGAAACTTGAAATGCTCTAAAATGAATTCGAAGCTCAAATTGTTGTCTCTCTTGAGACTATAACTTTATTTTCGACTTGACCACCTTCCCTTAACCCCAATTGGATCGTCTCATTGTGGCCTGTGTTCAGATGGCTTCCAACGATGAAGCAACATTTTCTTTCCTTGGCTTGGGTAGTAAATAAATCACAGTTAATTAAAACCTCTATTTTTCCCTCTGTATTGCGAAAGTTTTAATAAAACTAAAAAACCGTGGTTTCGAAATAAACTTAATTTTGGTTGTCAAGTGATTATTTTTTTAAAAGGAAACAGACTTATTGACGTTTTAATTTCCGTTTGTTGTAAACCCTTGGTTTGACAAATTTATCGCGATTGGCCAATCCACCTAGGTTCAATCTCACCTACTACCCTTTCTTCTCCCCTCTCTTTTAATGTTGACAACCCTAATTGCTTTTGACATCCGATTTACTACCTGTAGCAGTAGCTGTTGTTGAGACGGATATTAATTTATCGAAAGCGATGAGAAATGTAAAGATGAAATAACTAACCAATGTCGAGAATTAATCCTGGAGGTAGCTCAACGAGGGCTGTTCGCAAAACAAACAAAAAAGATAATTAATGAACACGATACTGTCTGGACTGCACTTTATTTACTTGCAAAAATACTTACTGTTATCGAATGTGACTTCACCAATTGCCAACCAACTTCCGCCATAGTATAGTCTTAGTTCCACAAAGGATGCCAGACTGTCGTAGATCCTACTAGTGCCATTCGTATTTGGGGAATCTCCAAAAGCTTTCGAGAAATCAACATGGATCCATTCAGTTTTCGGATGGGTGGCTTCAATTGGAGGAAATTGGTGGATGGTGGTAAGTGTCGTAGCGGGATCACTTGAACTGGCTCTGGGAAATTTTCGACTTAACCTAACCTTTAAAAGTCGAGGTCGGGAGATTTCTGTACCGAAGATATTTGCTAGGTATACATTCACTCCAGTGAAATTGTATAATCTATCAAATCGAAAGACAACACGTTCATATTCGCTGATTTCAGAGGTCTCGTCAGCTCGCTTCCAACCGACAAACTCATTAGAGTCCAGTGGGCTAGATATAATTGAAAATGTTGTTACATATTTAAAAAATTAAGTAGAAATGAATTCGCATTTATTTTGTTTTATTTACTCCACATCATTTTCATGGTCAGGTTTCCCATCAGTGAGTTTGCCCAATCCCCCAACATTGAATAGATGCTGTCGAAACTCCAAAGCCTGAGAACTTCGACTCTCTGGGTTATCATAAGTGACATCTATCAAACTGTCTTTGGGTGGTTTGCCCACGAAATTGCCCCGAGGAGCCTGATATTCGATAACGCCATCTAAAAGGGAAGATTTAGAGCCTTTGTCAGACACATGGGATCCAATATTCACACGATAGTTGAAAACTTATAGCCACCAAGCGCGCCTTGTAGGCGAATACCCCATTAATTATCTCATTCCCCCCCTTACTCCCACTCCGCTTTATTTGTGCGTACCGTTTGTGTCCCCGAAAAAGTATATTCCTTTGTTGAAAATGAAAAAAAGAAAGACATTATTGTGGTTCAAGATTTCAGAATACAAAATTCTCCCAAAATTTTTTAGTTCTTTGCAGTCAACGAAGATAATTTAGGCGTCAGACAATGCAAAAACGTATGCAAAGGAGAAGATAGCACTTATATTGTGAAACATTATTCTGGGAAAATTAATTGTGTCATGACAACGAGAGAACTAGAAGAACCAATCGAATAGCAAATTCTAAAGACGATTACCAAAGAAGAAGACAGGATTTTTTGCGGATTTGTTATTAAATCTTATCCTTTATTGGAGTATATGTTTCATTGGAGGATAGTTGTCGATTTTGTTAGACGGTTCAATAACGTATTTTGCGAAGTAATGTGTGAGTTGAATATTCTGGGTTAAAAGTATTTCTAGTTTTAAGATCATTTCATTTTGAGATTGTTGACTTTATGAAATTCGACTGAATCTTAATATTAACGCTATTGAGGGAAGTTCTGAATTGGATACAAATCGGCATTTAATTGCCATTTTAAATTTATATTCCTTAGTATTTTAAACTTTAAACAGCCGACAAAAGGGCATTGAAGTTCGTGAACAAAAATTTGCGCAGTAATCCAGGTGGTGAATGAAGACAGTCGAAGGTGGGAAATTGAAATCTCCATTAAAAGTAGGCATCGTGCAACTCGAATTCGAGTGTGAAAGAAATAATTACTCGCTTTATAATTTAATGGAGTTATTGCACATCGATTTCATATGCTCTCCTACCATTGTAAGTTGGGGTTCTTTGCAGAGAAACTAATCAACAGACCCCAGAAACATTCTCGAAGAAGGTAAAGAAAAGATGTTAAAGATTAATATATACTGCACTTTATTAACTTTTCCATTTCTTGCCCAAGTGGAAGAAATGGGTAAGTGGATAAATGAATTGTGGAGATCAGAAAATGAGGTAAGTTGTGTTCGTATTCCCAGGAGAAATAACTTGAAAAAACAACAAATTGAGTTATTTAGTGAACACACTAGACGTAGTAAACGAATTAGGGACTGAATGATTGAATTTGGTAGGTGTAATTAAATTTCCCCCAACTTACTGGCCGAACATCCGACGATTTCTAGTTTCAAGCAGACGGGTTGCCTCTCCTGAGTAAATGGATAAATCCGAACCCATCGGGCGACAAAAGGTGGATTCATAGAGACGTACCGTTCTGTTTGGGCGTCCAAATTGCCCTTAATTTGCTGATAAAAATTGGAGAAAATAAGAAAAGATTAAACCAAACAAGAACACATCGACTAATTAAGTGGAATCGGATTGTGACCATAATCCCTTTCGTTTTTTTTAATTGGAGGCTTATTTCTTATTTGCTTGATTTGGCACAAAGGTTAATAATGTCTTAATCAGATTTAATAATCCTGCTATCGTTTGTCGTTTCACTCTTATTCGGCAAATCAAATCAAAGCGTTGATCTTACTAAGGCCATGTTTTATATTAACATCAGTGTGGAATATAATTGCAGTCAAATTGATCACAAAAAAAAACTGGCACAGTTAGTGTTAGGTAGGAGGAAGTATTCTTCTCAAGCGATTGAGTTAACAATCAATTATTTAAAGCGTCGCAATTATAGCGATTATACCCTCAGGTTAATTTTTTTTCTGACTTTTAGAATTTGCTCTACTTTGGAAGTATAGCTAAAATAGCTTGTCAAAGGATCCTTTTCAACGTTTTCAGCAATCGTTCGTATAAACTGTTTGCCCTATGTGTTATTATCGCTATTATTATTATTGTTATCAAAAATAGATCAATAGCAGATCTACATTTTTGAACTATGGAAGTAAATGGAACAACCAGAGGTAAAGGAAGGAGATGCTGTTAGAAGTAGGAAATGAGGCAAGCAATCGAAATGATCTTGGTGAATTTTAATTCTCCTTCTTTTCGGCTCTCAAATTCAAACTTCAGGGCGCTTAGCTTTTAGGTTTTAGAGCGCTGTTCAGAGCCGATACGTACTAGAGTGAGTGGATAGATCATGACACAAATTCCAACTTATTCATTGATAATATTCAAGGGTGGCTAGTTAGCTTAACTGTTGTTGTGGACTTTAGTATCAAGATTAGATAACTAGGTAGAACATCTAAAGTAACAAAATTGTTTGTGATTATAACTCAACCAAGTATGCTAAAAAGTTTGCAGAATACACTATGACAAGTTCAGAACAGTTCGAGAACAAGGTTAATCTGAGAAACCCCACCGCACAATTAAAGAAAAGTGAACCAAATCGTTGAGTAAGTTGACCCACGAAGGCCAAACCCTTGCCAAACTTCAAATGAAATCTCAATTGCTAAAAAACTGTGAAAATGCGAGTCCTTTTTCATGAAGAGTCGATTTAAGGAGATCTGGGAAGATGTGAAGCAAGTTTTCAATGAGAACGAGGGTGTGATTTGGATGCAGCATCTGCAAAGGAACTCTGTCCTAACCTTACTATGATAACAGCCATCTTTATAAAAGGTTTAAAAAAAGAGAAATTGTCGTCGATTCTTCATGGAGGAGAGTGAGATTAGAAAACACTGGCAATAGGCCATAATGATTAGACAGGTATTCCACAAGCAAATAGACCTCCTTCTCCAAAATCTCACCGGTCTTTGCTCAAACTGCTTTTATTGTGCCTCACTTTTAGGCGCTCTCATTGATTAAAATCTTTGCAAGTTGTTCTTTTTTGCCGTAAATAATAATGACGTCGTGCTAAGGAAATAGTCCACCTTTGTTTCAATAACAAAGTCTTTCAAGTGTTAATACTTCCAATTACCTCTTAGTAATACTTGTATCTGAAAACGGTTTCCGCCTCCGTTTGCCGATGAGGCGAACCACATATTCGGACGTTTTGTTTCCATCAACTTAATAATTAAGTTGGGCCTTTTCTTGATGGCATTTTCGACCAGGTAGAGACAGATATCTAATTCCTACTGTAGTGGAAATCTTCCTCTTCCCAAGAGCTCCGTGGCAGGAAGTATTAACACGGTGAGCGCGCTATTAGATCGTGCCCAATTTTGTGAAAGGGGCCATATATAGGCAATCATGGACAATAAAATACACACTTCACATTGTCAAAAATAAGAATACTACCAAAAGTGATTTTATCGGCAAAGAAACGTTTAATCTGAATTTTAATTCGCATACTAGACTATACCGTTGCATACCAATTTGATTTCGAGATGAAAAATGTCTCATTGTTTATGAGGAGGAGGAGGGGGGGGGGGACTTGTGAAATTTAGTGCGAATGACGCCCCTCATAATAAATGACCCATTTGAAAAAGAGATCTATACCAATTTCTCACATCGACCTTTATTTAAAGTGGGAGTGTTTCTGAAGGCAACAAGATGAGTCCAGAACTTGAATGGCGTGGGGTTAGTGGAGGACTTGGTTTCAGAGTCCACGGATTTGAAATTTAAACTTTTCTCATTGAGGAATTGAAAAGTGATTTACATATTAAAGTTATCATTATAGATGGATAGTAAATAGCTCGGCGACTGAGAACAGTGCACTGCGCTCCTCTAGGACTTTCAAGCTTATTTTGAAATACGTATTCTCAAACTCAAGTAGTGCTGTAGGGTAGAATCATAAACCATCGGAGGTGAAAAAGACCTTCTAGTCATTTATACAAATAAGGGGAACCAATGCGATGGGTATCGATGAATATCGAACACGTAGATTAGATTAGTAAAGTAACGCCTATTTTTAACCCAAAATTCTCGAATTAGAGAAATGATAGTTTTTATATGGTAAAAGGAATATTTGCACTCATTAGAGCTTGAACACATGCATATATACATATATGTGAGCATGTGTGTGTGTTTAAAAAAGAAAACTAATGTTCAGAGTACTCACCGTAGTTCCATTAATATTTTGGTATTTGATCCACTTTGAAGTTGAGTCCCCCCTACGATACCAAATATAGTAAAAGGGTGTCAAGTATAATCCACCCTAAAGGTAATGAGAAAAAAATGTTAACTAACTGCCACTTTAAGTGGTTTGAAGGAATGCATATTGTTCAACCAACTTTATCGGCAGTAGACAGTCCCTTTGTTATTATCAATTTTACAAAAGACTGTCTGCCAAAATCGATCTCGAGGTATTCTTTCTCCTCGTGTGGTTGAACGTTCTCAGGACACCAAGCACGATATTGAAATCTTGAATCGTCGGGTGACATTCTGAAAGCAAAAGCAACGAAATTTGAGTACGCGAGTATAGTCTATATTGGCTTGAGGGATTAAGGTTATTAAAGTTTGGCGTAAAATGGACAAGAAGATGTACTACTTGAAAACATCCCCTCCCTCACCCGCCCCATGGGACGGACTTGAAGGTAGAATGGAAAACTTTGTTAGCCTAGAAGTGAACCGGGAATTAAGTTACTACGTTGGAACGCACCCCATTCTTTCTCACGACGCGAACAGAGAGAAAGTGTATAACTCGAAAAACGTAAACAATTTTGATAAACCGAGATTGCCTGTCAGTCATTGTGATATGGTGAGATTGTGAGTGAAGTTATGTATTAAGACAGATATGGCTAAACTGTTGAAGTAGAAAACCTATAAAGGATTGAATTTAAAAGTACAGCCCATTTATCTATTAATGTAAACAAATAGCAATGACCACTTATTCATGAAAAGAAACGCTTAATTGGCTCATTTGCTTAATTGGATAAATACCCTAGACAGTCGAATATCATCAAATATGTCACTTTAACAAGAGCAACTGTGTGACCTAACAATAAGCGTAGATAATAAGTCCCAAATTGAGTTCCAAAATCTGCAAATTTCTTTTTTAAATTACTATTTTCCGAAGTTTAGTTTCAGCCTTCTGGGGATTAATTTAGGTATCATTTTAATCAGGTACGAACCTATCCACGCCTAACATAGAATAGACAATAATTTCCACTGGGATTGAAAAATAGCGAAGAAATAGGTTGTCATACACTTAGGTATCTCACTCAGCACACAACATTTTACTTTCTTAATAGAATGGTCATTATGTGGAGATACGAGGCTTCTCTCTCCTCCTTCCTCCTATGGTTTATGCAGTTGACGGCAAATTCAGAAAGTGTGTGTGTGAGGGAGGGAGGGAGGGAGAAGTGAAAAGCGACACTCACTTGGCGGCTGAGGCGGAAAACTTTTGTGCCACATTTGACGAAGCTGAGAATGCGGAGTCGGGTAGAGAGGAAAGGAGAGTTGATTTGCATGAAGGCGGGGGTTGGGCGTCTACAGGAGAAAATTAGAGAATTTACACATGCGCGCACGTGGGGTGGTCAGTTACTATGCCCTCCTGCCAACTCTCTGACATAATGCTGCTGCTGCTGCCTGGAAAGCGGCGACATTTTTCAAACACGAATTAAGCTGTTCTTTGAGTGTTCTTTCTACCTTAGTTACTAACTTTGATTAAATAATTATAAAACAGGCCATGGCGTTGTGAAATGCAATAGTAACGTCAAAACAAGTATTACTCCTTTTGTATGAACAATAATTACACCAAAACGATATATTATCGTTACTTAATCATATATATATATATATATATATATATATATATCCGTCTTTTATTTGAACTTTCGGTCACGTTTGGAATATGGAGATGAAAATGGGTTTGAGGAACTCTGTTTCTAGAAGACAAACTCAATTTACCGAATGTCCCCAAAAAGTATATAGTTTATAACTGAAACGGAAGTAGAAATAAATGAAGTTTTCAGAGTCATTAATATCAAATAAAGGGTTTGAAGAAAGGTTGTAGACGCTTCTATACAAAAATTGGGAAATGAAATTAAGTAAATAAGTCTAATTTCTTTCGCGAATATAAACACTTGTTTCTTAAAAAGAGATTAAATTTTAAATCATGACACTTTAATCTCAGAATTAAAAATGACCTACTTTAAAAACAACTATTTTTGAAAAAAACAGAAATTAAGCTTACACGCGAAATAATCGATTAAGAATGCACTCCCGAGAAATGTTATTGAGGCAAATGTGACTATATGAATTTTAATTGTGCTTTCAGTTTTTCAACCACAGCACCTATCGATTTAGGAGTAATGCAATAGGAGATAATTTGGAGGGGTTTTCAGTAAATGCATGAGAAAGTGGATATATAATCCTCCACTGAAACTTTATGTTCAACTAAAGGTAATTAAGACAGTGTTTAGCTCGTCATTTTACAAATAAGTGGACAAGCGCCATTAATATGGATATCACAAGAGGATGCCTAAGAGGGGATTGTGTCTCTTCAGATGAGTGGATAGAATTTTATGACTTTCCGTATACTACTTTGGGCATGAAAAGGGACTTGGAGGTCATGGTTATTGGGAGTGGGGGGGGGGGATGAAAGTACGCAAGATGACCTCAAAGTCACCTTAGGGTTATTTGTGCTGCGCAGTTTAAGCTCAAATACACCAAGTTGTGACTTTGCGCGCCACTAGTAATTAATTTAGCAATTGCAACTAGAGCACAAAAAATAGAGATCATCAGCAGCAGCAGCAGAGAGATCGCCCTTTTTGCAATCTTTTTGCGCCAAGAAGGAGGTCGCAATCGTCGGAAATTGTGAAAAATAAAACTTGAGATTTTGATGCGCAAAACGTGGCAATAGCAGCAAAATCGTAATCTCCTTGCACAAACCAAATCAGTGGATGCTATGGTTGAGATTTTTGTTTTGTCCTGGCCAGAACCACCCGTCAAAAGTGCTCCCAAGGTGATTTGCTCCGGCCATCAATCATGCCCTAACGTTTGGGGTGAGTAATTTTTTATCCACGCCGTCCCATTAGCCTGCGTGACTAATTAAGTCTTTGTCGTAAAACCGAAATAGCAATGGCAAACACGTCACATTAGCAAGGTGAATGCAAGCAAAAATGAGAAAAGTGGATATAAATGAGTGAGATCTTCTTTAGAAATGTTTAGAGGTTATGAACTTTAAAATTCGAACAGCTGAGAAATGAGCCCTAATCGCATTAAGGGTTAAATTTTGGAATATTAAAGGATAAGCTGATGAACCCACATGTCTGATATCGCAGCTTTACGCACAATTTGTCCTCAATCCTCACTCCTTGTCGGATAGTGTTACTGTGTGTAATTTGCAGGTGCTTCCATTATTACACAATTTCATTGTTGCTTTTTCCTAATCAATTATCACTGTTATCAGGGGGATTGATAATAGGTGCACATCTCACATTGTTAGTCTTCAAATAATGAACACATTATTAAAGCACCTTGGAATGCTTTCTTTATAAAATGAGCTATAGGATGGTCTACGTTTTCTCAAGCATTACCGGAATGCCAATTTGACACATTTACAATACTCCATTGAAACCGCGTGATTTACGATTCCCGTTTAGAACCAGTTGTCATAGTGTCTCAACCAAAATAGGAAACTTGGTAACATTCGGAAATGCCTTAAAATTTAATTGGCAGTTTGACTAGCAGCCTCTGATTAAAGTTACGGAAACCGAAGTCAAACACAGAACACACACCCCCCCCCCCTCTATGTGTGTAACTGAGTGTAGAGACCTGCGGTTTTTTCGCACTATCTAAAAATGAGGTCACCTTTACCCCCCCCCCCTCCCCCTCCCTACCAAAAAATATGGCGACACATGGAGAGTTCTAGCTGATTCCACGAGCTGCAGTCACCACCACCTCACCCCCTAGAAAGGAAGACTATAAATAATGCAATAATGAGTCACACAGTCAATCCACACGTTCTCCCTAAATGTTGAAAGAACTGACTGCAAGAGGTGAATTTACGTTATAAATGGTCTTTGTTCGAGTTCCGTCACGCTACTAGACAGTCAAAAAATACACGACTGTGAGAGAAAAGACGGCAAGGAAACCGAAGTCTGAATGGGGGGGGGAAGTAGTTGTCGGAAGAGAAATAGGCAGAAAGAAGGTGATTCTATCAGACCCTTTGAGAAGTGAGAAAAAAGTAAGGGTTCCTGTCGGCGACATTGTGGAACTTTCTTTCACCGACTGTAAATAAATTCTCAGATTCAAATGAGTTCGATATATTTACTTAGCCGTCATCCTGGTCTAATTATCACTGTCAACCACGCATTTGGGAACTATATAAAAGGCCAAAATTGTGAATAAATAGGCCTTGAGAATCTTCAGAAAAGGAAGTAAATTTCATATCTGGATTGGACACTAAAAAGACGATTAATCTGATGCGTAGAAACAAGATTTGCGATCTTGGTGCATTTTTATCTTTTCTTTAGATGACAAAACTGGAGCTGCTACGTTCAGATCAAAACTATACTATTCGGAAGCTATCTACTGAATGAGAACAATGTTTTAATAAATTTCAAAATAAACATCTGTAGAAACTCGAACTTTCTAAGTTTATGAAGATCTACAGATGGGTTTCTACTACTAAGAAACGATTTCAAATGATCTATTTGAAATCCAAGTGAAATTAATTAAAAAATGTCCTGGACAAGTCTCAAGAACGAAAAAAAGGCTTGAAGCTTCAAATAAGAAGTTAATTTCAATGGAAAAGATAAAATAGAAGCAAATCAAGAAGCTTCCTAAAATGCCTACAGATAACCGGGGGAAAGTATTCATAAATGAAGTGGAATTTGTATGCAAACAACAAGAATTTTAAGTATACATTTCCTTTTTTTCGATAATGAAAGAAGGCGAACTTTAAAAGGCAGGTTAAGTCAAGATAGAAACACGAAAATTTCCGGAGGTTTAAACTTCCTCCTCACCCGACATTAGTGATGGTAAAGATTGGTACATTCAGTGGTTAATGCCTGCCTAACATTCCAATGTATCCATATTTGAAGCCTGATTTGAAAACCTTCCTCAATGAGAGTTTAAATGAAGAGGTGATAATTGTTCGGAAAATATGAATTATCTTTAGTTGCGTAAGACTATTTGAGGTCTTCAGGATCCCCAAACTGCCTTCCATTTCAAGAAGTATAAAAACCAATCTAATGAAATTAAAGGGGGGGGGGAGACTTAAATGATTTTGATTGCTTGGCGATTTACAGCAGTTCCTATTTTATTTAAAATTGGAATGGGACCTGTTCCAATTCATTATGTGGTTGAGAGGTGACAGTTTTGTAGCAATGGTGTTCTACCCCTCTTACTCCCTCATCTCCTCGCCTCCTCCCCCCCC